GTTCTCTCTCTCTCTCTCTCTCTCTCTCTCTCTCTCTCTCTGTGAACAGGGTCGGGCCATTGAGGAAGGGCCTGGGGTTCCTCAGCCCCTCTGTCTCTTCTCTCACTCCGAAATAGATGAGAGAGTCAGAGGCAAGTTCTCCAAAAGCAGGTAGATGGAGAGAGACACCTCACTCAATCTGCTCTGCAATAGATGAGAGGCAGACAGAGTGCTCCAACACCAGGCAGGTGGAGAGAGAAAGCTGAAGGGGGGTGGGTTTTTTTTTCTCTCTCTTTAGGGGTGAGGTGGGGAGGGCTTCTGTTTTTCTTTTTCGGGGGAAAGGGGGGAAGGTGGTGGTTTTGACAGGTTAAAATAGATGGGTGGGCAAGATTAAGATGAGCCTCGAAGGTCCTAGAACCTGCAGTGAGCCAGTTTACTCAAGCACCTGATCTTTCCTCCATAAACAAAAGCACATCGAGTACAAAAAGATAATAATACTCACAAGACAACAGGAACAACCATCAAAAATTTCCTGTTGCGAGTAAGCTGCTTCCCATTGTCCATTTGCTCCCACCAAGTCAAAGCATTATACACGCCCTGGTCTTCGGCAAAAGGAGTTCCCTTCTTCCAATGAAAACAGTGATATGTGACCTGAAAGAGACAATAAATATCCTAAATCTTGGGAGTCCATGAGAATACTGGAAACCAAAAGGAGAAGATGATCACTCAATAACATGGAATAGAATTGACAAAGGCAGACAACGGATATAACAGGATGGTTAGAACTCAGAACTAAAAGATTTCCAAATGATAAATACCCTAAAATAAACAAAATCATACAAGCATTTTAAGATAATCGGTACCAAGGACTTGACTCAAGAAGCCACTTCATTGTATTTTTAAATATTCTTTCCTTCACACAAATTTAATCAACAACATGCATATAATTTGGAACTTAGAGCAATTATTAAAATACGTATGCTATGTCGTACAATGAACCCCAACACATGATCCATATTAAAAAGCAATTTAAAAAATATGTGAACATCACACTGATGAAATACCAAGGATACGGCATTGATGTTGCACTTCTTATAGAATTCAATGCATACGCATATTGGGTGCGTAAGGATGTGATGTGAATTGCCTTTGTTTATGAGTTGTGTTGTCATTTATGACATGTCAAATCGAGATGAAAATTAGGCCCATCCCTCGTTCAAAAGCAGAGCTTTTCTTTTTTCTTTTTTGTTATGTAATTTTTTTAATAATTTATTCAATAAATAATAAGATGTCTGAATCAAGTTGTACCCACAAAAGTACACAAAGAGATATGCATGGAATCAAAAACAAAATAAACTTATAAACAGGAGAAAGGGAGCATTGGGAAGAAGAAAGGGAGCATTGGGAACCGGAAAGTGAAGTGGAAGAAATCTACTAACAGAAGCATATTTTTTTCACTCTCTTTGGCCAGCATGTCTGCTTCCTCGTTAGCATATCTCAACAAGAGAAATACAAGGCCAACTCATATCATTAAAGCTCGATGAGTACTCCAAAGAAAAGCTAAAACAGACTAGTCTTTTTTGTAGTTCTAGGTCCAACTTAATCAGTGTTCCATAACACGGACTGCTCAGCGGCTAGGCGGTCCAGAAGGCCTGGGCGCATCGCCTAGGCCTAGGCCGCCAAACTAGGCAGCGGTCCCTAGGCAGCAGCCTAGCCGGTACGGCACCTGCCTAGGCGGGCACCCATCGCCCAGCCCTGGGAGGCCGCCCAGGGGCGGAAATGACTTTTTTTAAGAGTTCTATTGAGTTTTTTTGGAAAAATAAAAATAAAAATAGAAGAAGCTTCTTCTACGAGAACCCATTTTAGAGAGAGAGAAACCCCAAAAAAACTAAATTTTGTGATTTTCATTGGATTGAAGTGTTTCTCAAAGTTACAGGAAATGGATCCAAACATCACCCAGGTAGATTAGATTTAGTTTTGGAGTTTTTTAATCCTATTAGAGGGTGTTTTTTAATATTTTAGCACCAAAAAACAACTTGGAGTTCGAGCAACTGCAAAACTTTATTTTTTGGATTGCTTGTTTTATTTTGAGATGTCTTCTTCAGGATCTAGTCGAAGTGGAGATCCGAGTTGAAAATATGGATATAGCCCGAATCTGAATGACAAAAATTGCATATGATGCAATTATTGTGAAAAAGATACAAAAGGCAGTATAAACTGATTTAAAAAACATCTTGCCAATATTAAGGGGGATGTTGCCCTTTGTAAAAATGTTCTTGAAGCTATCCGAGAGGAGATTAAGCAATATATGAGTTCTGTAAAACAAAAACAAGACCAAAATCATTGTCATTTGAATAGGTCTATTTCTGACTCTGCTAGAAGAAGTGATCCCGGTTGAAAGTATGGTCATAACCCGAAACCAAACGATAAAATTGTATAAGTTGTAATTTTTTTGAAAAAGATATCAATAGAGGTATTAACTGATTCAATAAACATCTTGTCCGTATTAAAGGGTATGTTGCTTCTTGTAAAAAGGTTCCTGAAGCTATTCGGAATGAGATTAGACAATTTCTGAATTTAGAAGAACCAGAAAAGGATGAAAATGAGCCTTGTTCTATGGAAATATCTTCTCCAGGTTCTTCTAGAAGTAGTGTTCCAAGTTGGAAGAATGGTTATAACCCAAATCCGAATGACAAAAATCATATTAAATGTAATTATTGTGGAAATGATACTAATGGGGATATTTACTGGATCAAAAAACACCTAGCCAATATTAAAAGCGATGTTGCCCCGTGTAAAAATATTCCTGAAGCTACCAGGGAAGAGATTATATAATATTTGAGTTTAGGGAAGCACAAAAAGATAGAAAATGGTAGAGCAGCCAAGACTCTTAGGGTCTCATCTGCTGGTAAGAGGGAGGTAGAAGAAGAGGAGGAAGAGGCAGATTCAAAATAAATTGAGGAGGGCGAGCGTTTGAAGAGGGAGATGACTCTGATGATGATGGCCTCAAATTTGATGCATATGAGGAGGCTTACCCTACTTCTTCTTCTTCTTATGATGATGATGATGACTGAAGAATGAAGAGTTGAAGACGCTTGACTCTTGGTGATAACTGTTGAGTTTTGACTATTGTGCCCTAAACTGTATATTTTCTGAATTTCTGTATATTTTCTTTTTCTTATTTTTAGTTTCTACTGTCTAATTTTTGTGTGTATCATACTATCAGTGTATGCTTGTATGGTTTTACTGTTTTAGCATTGTATGAAAATATGGATTATGGTCTTATAGACTATCAAAATTCTCTTCTCAACTTCTCCTCAATTCCTCATTCATGGAAATATCAAATACGGATTATGGATAGAATATCAAATTCTAATATTTGTGGTTAGAATATCAAAATTCTCCTCATTTATATCAATATTTTTAACTTTTTTCTTTCTATTGGGCCGCTTAGGTTCTGGGCGCCCGCCTAGACACTGGGCGGCTTGGACCCCCACAGCCACCTAGGTTTTTGAAACACTGAGCTTAATTTTAATCAAGAATTTCATACCCTAGTTTTGCCTTGGACCACTATCAACACCCTACTCATAGTTGGCCCTTATTGGGATTTGTATAGCGTGACCCTAGCGGTTCACCATTTTTTCTTTCAGGAGTGGGTTGCGTGACTGTCTAAGGTCACCTTACTCTCTTGACTGTCTTTTAATCTTACCGTATTCTTAATGCAATTATAGTCAATTTCTCTCAAAACCAAAAACAAATAACCTACTCATAGTCCAAAATTGTCAAAATTCATGCTGTCTTCATATGGCTCTTTCGCTTCACTAGTAAATTAATGGCTCTGGTTCCAATAACTTCGTGAGGAAGAACCAATTAATCACAATTACAATCTCATGCCCAATAATTAGATTCCCAGAACCAAACTCTCTTATGCTCAATAGCAAGATAACCCAAAGACCAATGGCCAAAGCTCTTAAACTTGATGTTTATCCAGTCAATCCATTTTTTCCATTCCCTAAAATAAGCATGATATTTCTTCTTCAAAGTTTCCTCACTGTCATAAATAAAAGGAACCCATGCAATGCATTTGACCTTAAGCTTCCCCAACTCACAGAAACGGTTGCCTCGGAGGATTAAATTAATCACACTGAATTGTGTTGCCACTGGCAATATCTAAAGCCCACTGTATTTACCAAAAAGAAACACTAAATTGTTGTGCCATTGGCGATATCTAAAGCCCACTGTATTTACCAAAAAGAAACAGAGGCTTCTCTATGAAATATCATTTATCCAGCCATTACAACCAACTGTCCTGTATCTGCTTGGGCATATAAGCAACGGTGACCATAGTTGTTGAAAGTGGGAGCATGAGCTGAAGAAATGGATCATCCATTGCTAGAAGCAACCTAGTTCGGGAGATTTACCAAAAAGAAACAGCGGGTTCTTTAAGCAATTTCATTTATCCAGCTATTAGAACCAATGTTGTCAGATTCACTTTGGAGCCTGCTGGTTTAGTATGAAAAATGAAGCAATTCGATGCATCGGCTGATTAGGGAAAAGACTTTGGTTCTTTTTTTATTTTAAATTAAATTAGAAATATATTTTTTAATTTTATGAATAATTTAAAATTTATTAAAAATTAATAATATATAAATTTATTACTACACTTAATAATAAATAAAATCGTTGAAATATTATTTTAATCCTACCATTTTTAAATTTTATTTCTTAATGCCCTTGGAGTTAGGACCATTGTAATGAAAAATACTTCAATAGTTATTTCAAATTTCAAAAATATCAATACCTTTTTACTCGTAACTTTTTGAGCCCGATCAAAGTAGGTAAGGTGGTATTGCCTTTTTGTACTTCTCTCTACACATGTCAAAGTAGGAATGTTGATATTTCCTTTTGTGCTTCTTTCTATACGTGGCATTAGTAAGTTTACACATTTTGCATACTTATGGACAGATTTAATGGTAATAAGTAACAAACTAAAAATACTCTTCGTTCTTTGGTTCGCTTCGGTGGTGAGGGAAAACCCGAAGACTTCAGGTGCTTCACCCGAAGCGAAGCCAAGTTAAACAACATGGATTAGAACCATCTGTCCCCAATCTGCCTGGGCATATAAGCATAGGTGACCATAGTTGTTGAAAGTGGGAGTAGGAGCTGAAGCACCGGATAATCCATTGCTAGAAGCAACCTAGTTT